TGATAGTGACTCCAAAGCAACGAGAGGTAGCAGTCCGTCTTCCAAGAGGACTGACACTGAAAGCTCATTGATCGAGCTTTCCCGTTCGAACGGTGATAAATCTGATTCATTCGAGACGAAGTCGACACAAAAGACCTCTCCCTGAGCGTTGTTGTCGCGGAATGGGCTGTCCCTCTGACAGCCAAACGCCGAATATTGACAACGTTGACTCGGAATGTGCTGCCAACGAATCCAAGATAAACTCTTCCACTGACAAGCTCGAATTGAACCCGGTCAACATTTCAATATCGACCATTGCCAGCGCGATTACTGAGTGTGTTGTCAGTGGGTCCAAATCCACCGCTCTCAGCGCTCATATCACCTGCAAATCCACACCATGGCATCGATTGACATCACGAGCGTGATGTCCACGAATGCACCCGCCAAGATCAAGAACAAGACCTACAAAAATCTGACGCGAGGATAATGTCACGCCTTTTGCTGAAGCAAAAGTGATTCGACATGACGCAGCTTCTTTTCCTACTAATTGATTTCACTTTGTTGCTGTCGTTAACACAAAAAATATTCTTCACCGTGCATCTCATGCTGTAATGCGGACGAATTCGTCTTCCTTCTCCACCAGATGCGGTTGCGGCGCATTTTGACTTCATCGTTGTTATTGCTACGCTCGTTCACGTAGTAAGTTGTTTGTGACATTCCGAGGCGGCGGTAATTGTGACGCCATCCGAGTTGGACTTCAGGGGTGATGCCGTACGAGAGTTTCGGGTTGGTCGACATTCAAATGCATGCCGAAACAAAAGTGAATATTCACCAATTTAGAGATTGTCTCTAGATATAACAGGTACAGATGAGCTCTCATCATGCATTTCGACATGGAAGAAGACAGGGTAGATGGTGGCTTGCGTGGCGTATATTAGCCGTACGTGCGTACGTGTCATTCGGGTTGGTCGGCATTCAATATTGTATGAAGGTACATTTTAACCTTGGTACAAATGTATTGTTTTATACAGGAAAAGATAGGGTTAGTGATCACCCCATAGACTCTGGATATAAATATCCAGAGAATTCCTCGCGCTTACACAGTTGGATTACGGAGGGTGCATGGTGATGGGGGAAGGGGAAAATGACTTCTACTATGCTGGTAGAATCTACAGCATGATCAAGCATATTTTGCAGAAGTAAGCCAACCACGAATGGTCCTAAACCAGACCTTCTTAACAGCGGCACTTGAAGTTTTAAAGCGGCACATTGCCGCTTTAAAACTATCGCCGCAGACGCTGCTGAGTGAAGCAGGATACACGCAAAGTCTGAGTGCTGGGAGTAACTCGGACAATGCCATGGAGGAAGGTCCTGACATGGACCTGGAAGAGAAACCTCACACTCCTCCCCAGGATCCATTGGGAGGCCCGCAGATTGACGAGGGTCGTGATCTGCCGGATGACCCTCGGCCGGCGCAAGCCGAAAGAACTTCATCCACAAACACCCCGCCGACCACAGGTGTCGGCTCAAAGAAGAGGAAGCCGAAGTCGGGAAAGGAGAAGCTGAAGGCTCCGGGCTCAGACGCGGAAGATCATGGTGAGCGGACGTGGACCGAGGAAGAACTGGCGCAGATCTTCCACAAGAAAGACGTCTTCGCGTTCTTACTTAAGGATCCGGTGATGAAGATCCTCCGCCCGACGTTGATCGGAGAGCTCCACGGCCCGACGACGCCACCAACGGAGACGTCTCGACAGTTGGAGGCCGCAACACAGCT